TATAGCACTTCCTTCCTGAGGAGGAATACCCAGCCATTTATACCAGAGTAAAGATCTTAATCTGGTTCTCAATTGTACCAGTTGAGGGGCTCATATTGGAGGCTCACATGCTTGATTTCTCTAGCATAAAAAAAAACAAAAATCCCTGTATGTAGAAAACTAGCACTGGTGGGCGAGATGTCTAGTTTGTTTCTATGCAAAGGATTATTATGATTTTGATTGAGAAACAATCAAGAATGTCAGCTCCCAATGCAATCTGAAATAGCACACTGAATGAAGATGAGCAGGTGCAGAAAACGCTTGTCAAATTTGCAGATCACACAGAATTTGGTGGGAGAGCTAAAACCCTGGAAGAGAGAAACAAAATCCAAATGATCTTTTAGGCTGAAGCACTGGGCTGTAAACAACGGAATTAAATTGGATTGGGACAAATGCCAAGTCCTGCATCTAGGCAAATGAAACCAAATGCATAGTTACACGATAGGAGATACCTGGCACAACAATACTACAAATGAGTAGGATCTTGGAATTGTTGTAGCTCATAAACTGAATATGAGTCAACTATGTGATGTGATGTGACTGCAAAAAGAAGCAATTGCTATTTTGGGATGCATTAATGGAATTATTGCTTCCAGATCACTTTTAGTACTAATTCCCCTCTCCTTAGCACTGAGTAGACCCAGTCTTGAGTACTGAATCCAGTTCTGGCCACCACAGTTTAAGAAAGATGCAAACAAATTACTGGATGGTCTTCTCCTTCATTAGGTTATATTAAAAAATCCACTGCCTTATAATATGTGTCAGTCATTCAAGATTAACCATCTAGGTGAATTGGAAAGCTGTGCAGTGCACAGTATATTATGCTCTGTGAGTATGCATATGCATTAGAAATAAGATGCATCACCTCACATTTCATTTCTAGGAAAACTTAAGAATCTGCACAGCACCTTTAGTGCATGTTTAGAGATACTAGTAAAACACAATGAAACAAAAATTAAGAAATCCCCCAAATCTTCCCCAAAGGAAAACAGGGAAAGTCCAATATCACATATGCCTACTCAAAAGTATATCCTATTAAATTATTGGAGTACAGGAATGTAGCGTGATTTACCAGCAATAGACACAAGAAAATCAGAAGCAGCAAATATATAGGAATAATTGCAGCATATGCAGGAACTTTACATGAACAAAAGAATGTGATTAGAGTACTTCATCTCATTAGCAGCACAGTTGTTCGAGGGGAGTACTTAATTTCTCAGTACTTAATTTATAACCCCCCCCCAAAAAAAACCCCTGAGTTTCAGGTCTGCCAGGCAACTGCACCTCCTGACATATAATGGTTCCCTGCTTATACCCACAGGTCTGAGAGCTGATAACTGTCATTCTGTAGTCAAGGAAAAGGACACAACAGATGCTGAGAGGCACTCTGTGAAATTATATTCCAAGACAACCCTCTGAAACCCAAAATTAAGCAGAACAAAGGTGGGATTGGCCAAGCATAAGAAAGTTTACTCTGGAACAGTGAGGAAAATTATGGGAATGGGGGCAGATTGTGGGTGCAAGCTCTAATTTGAACCAGGAAATTGACCTGGCATGTCAACCTCAACCCTGGACCAGATTTAATTTCATCTTAATTTAAACACAAGCAGCAAAGCATACCTGGTTTACTGAACAGGTATGTTAATTAGCACTATAGTTTCCTCATTAATGCTTGTTCTATTACTATATATTCTCAGAATCTCTCACCTTTATGGACCTGTTTTCCTCCATTCGATATCAGAGTGAAACTGAAACCAGTGAAGTCAATTTTATTAGAAACCATACGATTTTGTAGATTATTGTTAGCAGGGACATGTCTTTATTTTTTCACTGTCATCTCTTCTACCCATCATATCTTTGCAGATTTTTTGCCAAAATTTGTCATATGTTAGGCTTCTGAATCTACTGAATAAGCCTACATAAAAATCAAGTCTACACTAATTAATCTGCTCTGTGAAGGCCTCAGCTGATTTGATACATCACTTCTCTGCATTATAGTAAGTAACATCTAAACTGAAAATACCTGGAAATAAGCATGAACACTACCATTGCCACACAAAAATTAAACTGTATCAGTCTGAAGAGATCAAAAATCTAAAGTGATCAAGCCACCACAGAGTAAGTCAGCAGACAATGCAGGTTCCATGAGTGTACTATGACTTGTGCTTCCCATGTGCCATTCATTAAGACCAACTTTAGTCCAAATAATCTTACTTTGCCATACCTGTATTCACACAAGCAATGCTGTAACCATTGTGAAAAGTTTTGGAAAATGAAGATGGCTTTAGAAGTAGGCAAAGCAAGCAACCTGGTATCCCAGGACAAGCCCACAGCTTGTCACATAGTAATGTGCATAGGCACATATATACATGCAGTGGAACCTCAAGAAATATATTTTTTAAAACCCTGAAGCATCACCACAATCTCACCTGTAAACCTCAAGGGAGAAGAAATATTCCTTAGGCCAGGAAAAAGGGCTGACTTAAAGACAAACACTAGGTGGCACTATGCACCCATAATGTTGTAGTGGAAGGGCTAGCTAAGCCTAGTCTTCCCCCAATTTATCTTATTTAGTTAAATACATCTCGATTGCATTCGCCTTTCTGTGGGAATGTGGTTCTACATCTCCACAATCATTTTGGTTGTTTTTTTCTGTACTATTTCTATCATTTATTCTACACTTCCTGATATATGACAACACAATAGGTTGTGTTCACACATAACAAGTCATAGCAGGAATGGCTGTTATGTATGAATCCAATAAGCATGGTGAAGTGTGGTGTATTTGGTTACCTTGAATCCCCATGTAGAACCAACAGTCTAAAGTCTCCACATTTTAGCATTGCTTGTTGTTGTGTGTGAATTCAGTTACAATGTTTCCCCATATCTTCCCCATTTCTGCCATCAGGTCTGGCAGCAAGAGCAGCTGTGGCAGCAGATGCTCCAGCCTGCATTTTTGGTGTCCTGTTCTGCCTAGCAACTACTGAGACAGCTGCAGCTGCACTCTGGTTGGCTGCCTTGCGCTGCTTTTTCCCTCTGTCTGCATGCTGCCTTCCCAATGCCCAGCTGCAGCTCTGGAATATCTGTGACGGCAGGGCATCACCCAGCACCATCACCAGCGGCAGTGACCTTGGAGGCAAGCGTGCTTGGCATCTGGTGGCTGCACTTTCCCAGAGCACCACTCTGAAATGGCTGTGCGTGTGTCCGGCTCAGGGAGCCAGCACTCTTCTCTTGAGAAGGCAGCTTTACGCAAGAGGAGCATGGTAATGGTGCATGGGCACAGCCATCAGGGTGATCGCCCTGAGAAGCCCAGGTCTCCTGCTCTCTCTCCCGCCCTCTCCACCACTCCTATCTTGTACATGGTATTTCCAAGGGCTGTCAACAGGCCCTGCTGTCCTGCACATGCCCTGGCTGTGCAACACACACACACTCTTTCTAGCCAGCCCAGGAAGCCCAACTTTCCCGGGAAGATGTCCACACACTCTCCTGTGGGAAGCAATTCCTGCAGGGCTTGCTTCTTCCACCCCAGCCATGGGCACCCATGCAGAAGCCATCCATGTGCTTGGGTGCAGGTAGCCCCTGGCAGTATGTGCAAGTCCCATGCAGGGAAATGTGTTGAACAGAGACATGTGCAGCAACGAAGGAAGTGGGAATAGGAGTGCCAGCACAGAGCAGAACAGCAGCAAAACTTCATTCCTCCTAACACACAGTGCTGGCTCTGAAGTCTGACGTTGGGCCTTGGAACCATAGCCAGGGTACAAAGAACTGCATCAGCTGCAAGGGCAGGGAGAGGACGCTCCAAATTTAGAGTCCCAGCTCTGACTTCAGGGCTCTGATTTTTTCTCTAGCTGGTCAGACAGCATCTACCGGCCATAGCGATGCACCCTTAGCAAGTTTTCAAGTACCTAAATGCATTTTATTATTTGCATGTCACTCTGTTTCTGAGGTGCTTGTGGCAACAATTCTACTGAATGAGTTGGGCTGAATGATAGAAATTTGCTGAAAGGTTCCATGGGGATTTGAGCAACGTTCTTGGCTGTGACAATAGGCCGCTATCCAGACTTAACCATGGTCAAAAGAAAATAGGGTGCTCCTTATAATTTATTGAGTTGGGAGGGAGGTTTACACTGAAGTGTCCCTTATTTGAACAATTTGTCCTTTGCCTTTCTACAAAAATGAGTGCTAGAGAATCACGAATAAAACTTGATAAAATTCAGTAATGGCATGCAAAAACATTAAAACACAATTTAAAATCCCGTAGTAACAAAGTAAAACTAGCTCAGCAGATTCACTTATACACCAAAGCCCCTCTTGAATAAAATAGTATTTGCCTGCAGGCAGGAGGACAGCAAAGAGGGAGCTAAAGTTAGATTTTCTAATGGCTTGATGTCTGGTCTATTCTGTGTTTAGCTTATTTTAGGAAGTTGAAATAGTTTTTACATTCTGTATTATAGAAAAACATTTATGGTTGTTCTGATTGAATTGTAGAATCATAGAATACTAGAGTTGGAAGGTGCCATGAAGGCTATTAAGTCCAATCCCCCCTCCTGCTGTAGGAACCCACCTTAGGAACCCACCTTAGGAACTGTTGTAAACTACCCAGGCAACTTCAGATACTGGGCAGTTCAGAAGTTAAATACAGAAAGAAACCTTATCTCCTTTCACAGGGAGCCCCACAGTCAGGGAGCAGCCCTAAGAAGGTCCTTTTGCAGCGCGTCCCAAGAAAGAGTTCCATAGCTGAGTTAGCATTTGCACTGTACCTCGAGTATATCAACCTTCCCCCAACCTGGTGCCTTCTATATGTGCCTGTCTCTGGGATTATGGAAGTCGTAACCCAGCACATCGGATAGCACCGGTTGGGAATGCTTAAAAAGTCACGAGGAACGAACTCCAGAAAGTGGTTGCTTTACCCTTTCCTCTCTTATTGCACAACAGGCAAAAATTAAAGGCATCCAACAATTCCCGCCCGTGCACTCCCTTTTCCGTGAAGGACCGGCCTTAATCGAAACGCTGAATGAACAAATTGCCTAGGTTGTTCTTACTCTGCAGCTTAGATACGGAGAAAAGGCTGGAGGGCGTTTGCTGTTCGGAAAGCTAAGAGTTGCTGTGTGTGTGTGTGTTTCCTTATTTTCCGCTTTCCACCTTAAGAACGTCGTGGGACTCGACAGAAAGTTGGTTTTCTTCTCATCTGGAGGGAGAAGGAGAGTTTCTCAGGGCGAGGGAAAAAAAAAAACGCGCCCACCGATTTCAGGAAATGAGTAAGTTAGAGAGCGATCGCAGTAACGTTAGTTTGTCTTAGCTAAAAAGAAACAGGCGTGGAGGATGCCCAGAGAAAGGAAAAGAGGACTCAGGCGGAGCTTCTGGCCGTCGAACAATTTGGCATGAGAAAAGACCGGGAAAGGGGGCGAGGGGACCGGTGTTAAGCGCTCAACGAAATCGAAGGAGAAGTTTGTTGCGGGACGAAGTAAGTACGAAGTTTCCCCCTCTGCCGCTGCAGCGGCCGTTCCACATCTCGCCGCCAAGGCTGCTCCGGGCTTCGCTTTGTGTCCAAACCCGCAAACTCGTTGCGTTTTGGTTCCTGCAGAGTCGTGTGAACGCCTTATGCGTGCAGCTCCGCCGTCTTCGGAGCCGAGGAGGGAGTCCCTGGGCCCTCCCCTCCCGGCTGCGCGCAGCCCTCGGAGAACCACTGGAGGAGTCCCCTTTTCCTCCAAGAGCTGAAGACGTAGATGCTCCAGCGGCATGGAGGAGGGCTTAGCAATGGATCCCCCGTAGAGCGAGTGGCTCGTCGGAAGGAAAGCGAGGCTTGCCTTCCGTTTAAGCGCCTCGTTTGCTTCCTTCTCGAAAAGAGAATGTCCAAACCGTTGGGAGCTGCTTGAGCGGCCGGGGCGGAAGACTCCGGGCCTCCACGAAGCCTTCTGGAAAGGGCAAGAAAGGCAGCCTTTAAAGCTATTTTCTCTTCCCCATTAAGGCTGTAATCTTTGCCTGCTTCCGCTGGGGGTGGGGTGGGCGTCCTGCAACTGTGGGGGGATGCTGGGAATTGTAGGACCATGCAAGGGTTACACCCGAAAAGATTTTACTTTGAAAACCGAACGAAATCTGCTGGGGGATGTTGATGCATTTCTTCACCCCAGAAAAGCTACATTTCCTGTCGTGGGGTGAGGGGAAGTTCGCATCTCATGCGGCTTTTCGGTTGCCCCACGTGTTCGCTCTCCTTAACTTTTGTCGTTGTTAAATTGTGAAGATTTTTAGCGGTTCGTTTATCGTATTTTATGTCACTGTGTCCCGTTTTTGAGCCAAATGATTTCCAGACAAACACGGGCCAGCACTACAGTAAAAGCAAATAAACAAACGTTGCAAAACAACAACTAAAGCTGCAGTATCGAACACGCCGACTTGGGAGTACCTCGTATCGCCTAATGAGGCGTCCTCCCAAGCGAACATGCACGGGGATTGCACTGCAAAAGCATCGGATAAAACGATTTACTCCGTAATCGCATGCATGTCTCTACACACTAACTCCAAAGTAAGTGAGTGCTAAATGTTCGGCCGTGCTTAAAAGTCCAGCACTTAAAAGAGCCTGGGAGAGAAAGATAACTTCCTTCACCTGCACTGAAAAGGTGAGCACCATCCGAAAAAAGGTTCAGTAAATGAAAGGTCACCATCGAAAGGCCCTTTTCCATGGTCCCTGCTAATCTCTCTTCAGATGACAGAAACCCTGAGAAGGCCCTTTGACAGTGATGTTAGCACAGTTGGGCTGTCCTAAATGTATTTGCTTAAATCGTACTCCCAGCACCCATGTGGACTTCCAGTGGCAGCCCAAATGTTCTCCCCTCCCTGCCCCTTTCAAAAACAGTATTTCAAGGGGGGGGGGGGAATCCCTAGAAAATGTCCAGGAAGATTTTATCTCTCTTTCTAGCCCTTACACTTTTCCCACCTCTCTGCTTTGCTGTCTCCCCCTCCTATTAGGGCTTACTGCTGAGTCTATAAGCACAGGGTTGGACTGTTACATGGGTGGGCTGGCTTTAGGCAAGTAGGACGTGTGTTGCTTTTTACAGAACCCGAACATCTGCTCACCAGAACCTATTTTCAAATGCATAAAATCTAAATACAAGCATTCTGGTCCCCTCAGGCCTTTTTGTTTTGTTTTGTTTTGTTTTTAGCCATAACTGAATGGAAGACACTGTCCTTCCACACACAAATCCACTCTTGATTACCCCAGGCTTTTTTCATTTCAGCAGTATAATTTAGATGGTATAAATATTGCTGCTATTCTTAAATAATTGGGGTCAGAAATCCTTGCTGGTTTGTTGTAAATTACCCAGGAGAGCTACATGCTGCCCACCCTGGTGCTGGACATACTTGATGCTGCGACTTTAGACAATCCTTGGCTACTGCTGCCTCCTTCAATGGCCTCGAAAGTGGCATTAGACAAATCCATGGGCTAGATGGACCTTTGGTCTGATCCAGCATGGCTTTTTCTATATTCTTTTGAGCCAAGCAGTAGCTATTAGTCATGATGGCCACTGCATATCAGATTCCTGGGAGCAGCAGTGAGAAAGGGCATGCATTACTGTTGGATTTCCACAAGCATCTATTTGGCCACCACAGGGAAATCGAGACCTAATGGAACTTTGGTCTGATGTAGCACGACTCTTCTTTCACTCAGACGAAGTAAGGATGCTGTGGTGCTACCATCTCATTACTTATCACTCAGAATGCTTAAAAATATTCCTTCCAATTGTGTTAAGACTGTCACTGAGGAAGTTCTTTTGCAATTCAGTGGCCTTCTGATTTCTGCTGCCCTTGGGTTTTCGTAATGATCTCTTAAACAGCAAGGCTTCCTGAATGATGGTTGAAAGCTAAACCTCAAGATCCCTGGTTTTATTTGAATCTTGTGGCTATTTTGTTTCACTTCACGAACTCCATGAAATTGTGTTTGCTTATCCAAAGATGCTGATCCAGCAGAGACTTCTTGTATATGATTTTCCCCTAGGGACAGGCATCACATTTCATAAACCACAGAGGTTTGGATTAATGTTTGCTCATTCAGGAAAGCTTAAACTCTTTCTTATGATGATAAAGACTCTTTATTAAAGAGTGAGTGTCTTAGAAAATGACTCTGTTCTCTGGGGCAGGAAGGACCTACACTGTCACATTACACAAAAACATTTGTAATAAAAATCTGGCAGCCCAAGAGTATTTAGGGTAATGTGTACTCTTTCTTTCCTCTACTCTTTCCCTTTTCCCCAGCACTTTTTCCCTCTTTTCTCTTTCCTTTTCCTTTAGTTATTTATTTATTTATTTTGCTGGGAGTGCCCAAATATAGGCTTGTATTTTAAATTTATTTATTTGAAAGGCCATTAATCCCATAGGGATTTACTTCCAAGTAAACACATTAGAAATGGTAGCTTTATGTATATACTGGTAATTATGGGGAAGGCTACCTTCTATGAACATACAGTTCTTTTTCTCTGAAAAAGTCCCTTTTCCCCCCCTTCATGCAGAGGGATAGTATGAAGCCCTCCCATCTGTCTTTTGTTAGAAGCTGGTCTTAATGTGAGTGAAATTTTTTGCTTTTAACATCTGCCTAACAAATTAAAGAAAAGGCATTTTTTTCCAGGATAGCATGTGTCCATTTGTTTTTCTCAGGCCTAGCAAATTAGGAGAGAATGCAGAACACAATTTAGACTTGGGAGGAAATAGTGTGGTTGGGGTGGTTTACTCTTCCCCCAGCACCACTGCTCTGGCTTGAATACCCTGGCCAGCAATTGTTTTTATGTAAAAATGCAAGTCTTGGGAGATTATGCCATTGATCTCCCATTTCTTGGGTAATTTGACACTCAGATGCAGCCAGTTTCCTTGCTGGCCAAACCAAATGCAGCTACCAGTCTTCCCCCACTCTCCCAACACCCACTTCCACTGAGTTCTCCCAGGGGAAAGGCAGTGAGGGGCAGTGTTGACTTGGTCTCCCAGCAGCAGCACTGAAAAAGCCCCCTCTTTCTGCCAGCTTCACCCTTGGGAAGGGCTAGCCTGAGAGGCATGCAAGCAGAACCCCCACAGAGGGAACAGGAATTGCTGAGCCAAGCCCTGCATGCCTCAGCCCCTTCAAAGTTGGAGAAAAAGGTTGGTCCCTTGTTGTGCTCCACAGAGCTGTTCTCACTCTGATGAGCGGAATTACTGCAGCCTGCTCAGATGGCAAGCTTTCCTTTATGCAAAGTGCTTAACACAGGAACGGGCATTTCCTCAAAGAGCAGGTATTTTTAAATGTCTGAAGTCATAATAGCTGGTACGATGTTACCCATGCAGACCCTGCTACTCCCTTTGGACTAGAATTTGTAAGATTAGTTTGTGGGTGTCAAGATGCCCTTGATGAGTGTGTGGGTGTCAGGCACAGCAAGCACTTGCAAAAGGACTACGCTGGTGAAAGATGTTGCCTCTGGAAAGCACCCAACCAGAAGCAGTAGCATGAAGAGTTAAAGAAACCAGTGATGTGCCCACTTCTTAATCAATGGGAAAGCACACTTGGCATAACTTGGAATAGGTTGGGTACATGTCTTTGCGGGTATTTAGAGACCTTGCCAAAGTGTCTGCCCTTGGTATCGGTGTCTCTCTCTAAATCACAAAGCGTAGGAAGCTGTCTTTTCTCAAGTTAAACCCTGGGGCCATCCAATGTAGTCCTGTTGACAGTGGCTGCCAGTGGGGCTCTCCTGAGTTTCAGGCAGGTGTTTTTCCATCCCTTCTTAGAGATGCTGGGGGTTGAAGGTGGGACCTGCTGCATGCAGAGCTGTAGTTCCTCCCAAATCATAAAGGCCCCACATTTCTGTCCAGCAACACATTTCTCAGTTTGGATTTTTAATATCCGGTTATTTTTAGGAGGTAGACATTCCACTTTTCAGAGCTCTGGGTAGCAGATTGGCATTTTGGGGGTGTGGTCTGGGCAGGGTGTGGGGATGCCTAGCCATGTGCTTGCAGAGGCAGCCGTGCCAGCTCAGCTGTGTGAGCAAGACTCTTTCACCACATTTTCCAGCAGAAAAGCAGGATGTGAAGTAAACAGACAAGAATGGACCAATATGCAGAGAAGAAACATCTGGGAAAGCAACACCTTTTGTAAACTGGATACAACATTCAGTGAAGTGAACTAATGTAAAATTGAAATATTCCACACTCTTAAGTTGTACACACCACACATTTGTTTTCTCCTGCAGTTCAAAGGCCTAGTACAAATGTAGGTATCATGTTCAGCACTGGTTTGGAAAGTACATTTTGATATGTTTGCTCATGTTTTGCACATTTACATACATTTTTTCCCAGGGCATGGCTGATATAGCCTCATTTGTGCATACACATGTACATGATTTATGGCACAATCCTGGGCACATTTAGAATGAAAGAAGACCTACAACTTGCAGAGTTTCCTGACAGAGCATAGCTGGCAGGGAAAGGCTAGGAGTTAAAAGGCTTTTT